TTTTTTTACACTGGACGGGATGTGTCGGCCTGACACAGGTCTGGGACGTTGGAATCGCGTGATATCATGGGCTGTGGGCGCGCCGTGGAAAAAATATTATCTCAGCGGTAAAGGTTTTCATTTCGGCGGTAATAATTTGCTAGCAGTTTTTTTCCTCCATAGAAGCGCCCCGGATGACGTTCGCCCACTAACGTCTGCTAACATTTGTCTATCGTATTCTATTTCCACGTGGGAAAAAGGCCCGTCCAGAAAATTTAATGACCTACACCTATGGGTAGGGCCTTGGCGGCCGCGGGGCGCTTGTCCCTCGTCGGCACAACTCGAAGTGCGGCGCTACCTGGCCTCATTTAAGCCCATTTGTAATCCGTGGCGCCATTATAGGCATACGTCAAAACTGCCGCATGACCTACTCTTTTTGTAAAGTATGGTTTTGTAGGTCATGAAAGTTAAAATCCGGACCGATCCGGACTGTCTTTTCACCGTCGTGAATTGAACGCCTGCAAAGCTTCCGCTCTATTCGTTCCCGCCACGCCACGCACCGTGGGGGGTGGGGGCGACCCTGGTCGAGGCCCTGCAGTACCCACAGGTACCCACAGGTACCCACAGGTACCAACAGGTACCCAGGTGACGCAGAGTATATGTGTTACGCCCGCACGTGGCGAGGTTCCGAGGACCCGGCCGCGCGTGGCGGGTCCGTTGTTGCTCCAAAATGATCTCGGTGTGTGTATGGCGGGAGGGGGGGGGGGGCCTCTGTGATGGCGCAGCAGGTGCGATGGCGGTGTGATGCCGCCGCTGACCGACATCCGTCGCGTTCGAGCAAGGAAGGAAAGAGTACTATACGCTACACGGCAGGTGTATGACTCATGCTCTCCTCAGATGACTGACGTAGAAAGAGAGTGAGCTGTCCGGCGATCGCGGGGAAGAGGGAGAGAGGTGCAGATCGAGAAGAGGTGGTATCGCAAGTGGAGGGGGAAGAGGGGTGTTTTAAGGTGGCTCTCCTGGGGGGGGGGGCACCTCTGGCTAACCTGAGCAGACGAGCTCCTTCCGTTGCATCAGACCACGTGACCGCACATGGTCTC